CTGTGGCCAATAACAGCCCGCATGGCACAAAAAAAATCTGCGCTATTGGGGCGCTATTGGATTGCTATTAAAAAGCGACCACTTTGTTAATAAATCATAAAACACAAAACGACGAAAACAAACGCAAAAACACCAAGAAACACGACAAAACCGATAACAAAGCCAATAGCGAATTAATAACGCACTCAAAAGCGCCGCTATTAATTCAATAACAAACGCAATAACAGAAATAAGGCCTGGAGTAGACCCCCCCAAATGCAGGCCGCCCTATTCTGTTATTGGATTTGTTATTAACGACGACAAAGCAGCGCAAAGATCTGCCAACACAACCAGACGAGCCACAAAACATAAGCAACACGATCAAAAAGACAACAAAGCCGCCCGAAAAAGTTAACAATCCAAAAGCGGGACTTTTGCAGCGCTTTCCTCCGGGTGACCCGCTTCTTGGGCTGTCGGCAATCCTTTTCCCAGTGTCCCGTCTTCCCGCAACGGCGGCACTGGTTGCTTGCCAGGTAGGCTGCTACCTCGTCGCCGTCTTCTTCTTCGATCGTCACCCTCTTCTTCGGTGTGCGCCCCCGGTGACTGTTCCTCCCCGTCGTGGTCTTCGTCCTCGTCGTCGTGCTCTGTGAGCTCCTGCCCTGGGCCTTCTCCGGCGACGTAGGCTCTGCCGCCTCCGTTTCGCTGCCTTTGTGGTACTCCGCGCTTGGGCGTCCAAGGCTTGCGGCCTTGATACTTGTTGCTGTAAGCCATGGCAGCATCTCCCTGCTCGTCAGCGGCGTGGCCGTGTTCTTTTGCCGACGCGTCATCGGCTGCTACACGCTTTAGTAGTTGGGTCATCACTTCGGAGCTGTGCCCTGTCTGTCCTGCTTTCGCCAAGTCGAAGCTTTGGCGAATACCCTGGCGCTGTAGCGTTGTTAGTCCTGCCTGCGCTGCAGTATAGCAAGAGGACCAAGGCGGCGCCCTTCATATGTGCGGCAAAGGTCCCCTCTCTTTTTACCTCGTTCACGCGCTCGGCAACGTTGTGTATCCAAGCCGTTAGCGCTATGTCCTACCCGGCCGCTCTCTGATGTCGGAAGATACTGATAAACCGCACTGCGGCCCCAATAGCATCCGAGTGCTCTGCTTGGCGATCCATCCAGAGGATGAGGCGCTGCACGAGTTTAAAGTCCCGCATCGCGGTCCTCTCTGCTGGGTCAGCGCTGTCGTAGGCCGGGTCTTGTTTTTGTGTACGCCAGTGCGCTGGCATCTGGAGCGCGGCACGATGCCACTTTTCATAGTTCGGCTCGAAGGCCTTGGCGATGACTGTGGCGCATATCTTGTCCGCGGCGAGTTCGGTTGACTCAACGAGGAGAAGAATGTCGCGCCTGTAGTCTCGCCAAGAGACTCCGGGGAGCCAAGGGCCGATCTTCTTCGACGTCTTGGTGTCCGGGGGGGGGGTGTGCTTGCTGGGGGAGGGGGTTTCCTGTCTTTTTGAACTTCCCTGGTGTAGTGCGTAAGAAAGACCTGGCTGTCGGAGATTTTAACTCCTGAGAGTGGCAATCTTCGCAACTGTCTCTACCTGGTGAAGAACTGCAGGCTTTTTCCTTGTGGCGGTTCCTTCTCCCTTGTTCCCACCGTTGTTTTGCTCGGGGCTGGAGCTCAAACCTGGGCGGTTGGTGGATTGGGTCTCCGCTTATGGATTTCCTCCCCGTCAGCTGATGTCCGTGAGAAGCAACCGATGTCGACAGGACTTGCTTGCCTGGCAATGACTCTGGACCCCCGAGACAAAAGACCTACAAGAGAGACAGCGAAGGCTTTCGCGTGGGAGTCTTATCTACCTAACAGTTTTGGTTTGCTCCTCGAGTGGGTGCTTGCGAGAAAAAAAAATCTCCAAGCGGGCTGTCGGGGTGCGAAAATTTCACCCGAGTGGAATCCACGCGACAGAATGTCCGTGGCTTCCGAGATGGGAAATTTTTGCGTTTCTAATCGTAGTCGGGCTCTAGGCGGATCACCGTGCTACTTCAGAAAAGAAAAAAAAATAAACTGAAGCTGCTCCGTTAACGGATGTCATTTGCGTCTGAAAAAAAAATCTTTTATAGCAACTGGCAAAATTTACTTAAAAACTTCCTAAGAATGCAAAGCGATTAAGCTAGTTACTCTCCGCTGCCATTTATGAAGTAGCGAACACAGTGGCACCCTTGACACGCAATCGCTCTTATATCACGGCAATAGCGTGGCTGTCTTTGTTTTATGCAATAGCCCAAATGGCCGGCCACTGATATCAGTATGAGAATCGTGATTGTGGTTTNGAGAGAGAGAGAAGAGAGAGAGAGAAGAGAGAGAGAGAAGAGAGAGAGAAGAGAGAGAGAGAAGAGAGAGAGAGAAGAGAGAGAGAGAGGCGAGAGAGAAGAGAGAAGAGCAAAAGGCAAGGGCCCGCGCCACTCAAACAAAAAAGGCCCAGCGCCCCACCCTCTTACTCTCACGAAACTCAGGCCCCGAAGAGCCCAGCCGGGGCGCGTCGCTCCAATCCAGGCGGCAGACTCAGGCGGGCACACACACCCAGCCAGCAGGCCCCGCTAGGCCCCGTTAAAAGTTTCGGGACTTGAGGAAACCCCGACCGACAAGCACCGCCGCGCGCCTGCGTCAGGCAATCTGACTGCCGGGGAGCCAGCAGCCGGACCCACGCAAAAGACCCACGGAAGACCACACCAAGCCCGAGCCACCACCAACATGCACGAGCAGGCGCCCGCAAGTCCAAGCCGAAGCGTATGCGCCGAGGCCGATCTCAGGCAAGCGGTCACCCTTCGAGACACGTCCGCCGGAAAAAAGTCAAGCCCAAACAAAGAGCCGACACCACGCCAGCCCGCCCGCGAGGCTGCACCAGCGTACGTCAAAGCCACACTTCGAGCAGCCACCCAGTGAACGCATTGCGGCCCTAGTGCCGACTCCAGAACCAGGCTCCTGCCCAACCCGCGCAACCTCACTGGCGTGAGCGCTACGGCCTCACCCTGAGTAAGCACTGCTCGGCGCGGGGGCTCTCTCAGCGTCCACACGCGCCCCACCAACCCAGCCAACCCCGCGGAGCTTGCACGAGCACCACGCCGCACTCCGAGGCCTGCCAGCGGAGCGAATACGACTGGCTGGGCGCGTCGAATGCGGTCCAGCCTGCGCGGCGGTTCCGCGGCCCGAAGGCTTCCAAGACCCCGCAGGAGCCGGCTAACAAAACACTCTAAGACAGACGGCTAAGAAACTTGCCGAAGGTTGACGGCTAGCAACTGCTCTAAAGCTAGCGGCTAAAAAGCCACCAATTTTGGAAACGGTTAAAAAAACCCGCGCCACGTCCTTCCAAAACTGGGCAGACATGCTCTAAATCGACCCCAAAAACAAAAGCGAGCGACCCCGAGGCGAAATCACACGAGAAAAAAGCCTTCGACCTTAGCCGAATCGCAGCCGCTTTTTAGGCATGTTTTCCGAATCCGAAAAAGACAAAAAAAAATTTAGACACATTTTTAGCAGTCATTTTAGAGAGGTCAGCGGGCGCCCAAACCCTACCCCCCCCGCCCCGACTCCCATCAAGCCCCACGCCCCTTCGAATGCGAAGCCCGGCACTTCCACGCGAGCTGCTGCGACAGTCGCCAAGCCCCGGCGCCGTCCGTGACTCAACGCGGGCACCCCACAGCGAAGACACCCCAGCAAATGCCTCCAGCCCCTCCACACGGATCGGGGCAAGACGGAGCAACAGAAGACAAGCACAAGCAAACCCAGCCCACTCACTGAAAAGCAGCACGAAAACACCCAGAAGACGAGAGGCACCACACCCCAACACCGACAGCCCCCCGCCACCCTGACGCCCTTCAGCAGTGCACCCCCCTAAACCGAGACCCCTAAGGCCTGCACCCCCAGACGAGCCGAGCAACCCAGCCAAAGCACACAAAAGCGGAACCGATCGAAAAAGATTAGACGACCGAAAATAAAAGCCCAGCAACTTTTTCGGTCGTCTTTGTTGATCCGCTGCCGCAGAATTCAACACCCAGGAACCCTCTGCAGAGTTCAAGAACAAAGTCACAAGCAAAGACCGCTGCCGAATCGCTCACAAATGCACCAGCGACACGACACGAGAAAAGCAGAAAAGCCCCCCGAAGCGAAGCAGGGGCGCAACGGCTCAAGGCAGGCGCCCCGCGACCCCAAAAAGCCGACTCTTTTAGCCAGATTATAAGCCAGACTCTGGCCGGGTGCGCGTCCGCCGGCGGGCTCCTTCACTTTCGCGGTGGCTACCAGTGTCGCGGCCCCCCTTGCAGGAGCAGCCTGCCACCCTTTTCGCAGAAGGTCGCCGCCACTGCCTGCCGCATTCCAAGTCACACGTGCGGCGGCCTCTAAGGCGTTGCATGTGTCTCCGCTCTCGATGACTGTCGGCCCGCCCAGCCTAGACTTTGGGCCGCCAGCTTTTGCAGCTCCTCCACCGCCTCTTCTTCTGACGCTTGGAGAGACACTACCCCCCGACCCCACCACCCCAGCAGCCGCCGCATTGCTCGGTAGCGAAAGAGACAAAGAAAGAAACGATAAGAGAAAAGAAAAAAGGAGACCCTCTAGACCTGGAGCAGCCGCCTTCGGGCCTCTTGCTTGCTTAGTTCGCTGCCCTGGGGGTCTTGGGGTTAGCGTCCTACCCTTTGGGCCATTTTTGGGCCTTTGCTCTATCGATCTGAAACTTTTGAAAAAAGTGCGAGCTGCTCGGCTGCCGCCTTTTATACCGTATCGCTTTCAGAGCGGAGGAAGGTAGGGCGCTCTAGGTAAGGCGCTTCGCCTTTCTCCAGGTAAGGCACCCCAGGGCAAGCGGCGCAACTGGCAAGCACGGTGGGGCGCGAGCGCTTATTTTTGCGCTTTTGGTCAAGTTGTTAGAGGTGCGACCGATGTCGCTGCTGCTAAGATAGTACGAAAAGGAATATCGAGCAAGCAGCATAGTACTCGCCCCGTGGCGCTAAAATAAAGGAAGCTACAAGGTAACTGGTACGCATCCGGATTCTCCCCGCCCAATTTTGCTGCACTTCCATCCTGATATCGCTATTTTCCGGCAAATTATATCCCACCCAGCTGCGCACCCCACAAAAGCCGTGCATCCTCTCTTGAAAGTCCGCATGTATCTGTGAGTAGACAAAAAGGCAGCCCCCGTCTCCCCCCCACGAGGTGGCACGATTTTTCTTTCCTAAGTGATTCATCGCCAAGAAATCTAAGAGAGCTCTGCTCTAAGTCTACGCGTGGGCGACTGAGGACAATACCCAGTGGACGGGGAGTGTGTATGGATATGCCCCGACCTATCTTCTGGAGGGGGGAGGCCTCCAGCTCCGGGCCCTTTTTCTCGAAGGACTGCCAGGCGAGAAGGCCTCCAAGCGCCTGCTTACCTTCGCGGCCTCCTGCCTGTAGCCTACAGAACCAAAACCCCTGAGGCCGTTCAAGCAACGGCGGCCGGGGGAGGGAGGCTTCCGAAGGCGGCAAAGGTGGCCAAGCTGGACCCCCTTGCCATGCTGCACGCACCCTACAGAGCTCCCACGCCGTTCCACATGACGTCATGCTGCCCGTACCCTACAGACCTCCCGGGCGCGGGCTCCTCACTGGGGGAGCCTCTTCGAAGGTGGAAGGCCTCCGAGGGCCGCAGGTGGCAAAGCTTGACCCCTTCCGCGGTGCTGCATGCACCCACCAGAACCCAGGCGGGCACGCCTTGCCCCCCTCCTCCTCGCCTTTGGTCCTCATCCCCCCAGGCGTTTGGTGGCGGCTGACGCTCGCTGCCACCAATTGGGGGGACGAGCGCCAAAGGGGCCAAGCCTCGCGCCCGTGGCCGCCTTCTTCCCCCGGAGGCCGTCCCCCTGATAAGGTCCATCCAATAGTCAAGGCGCATGTGGGGCACACGCGGAGAGCCGCCAGGGGACTCCTGCCCCGCCTTTTGGGCCCTTTACCCCCGGGAGCCCTTGCATGTCACCGCCATGTCACCACAGCGGAAAAAAGGGCGCGCGGACGCCGCCCGCGCTCCATCCACAGGGGGGGCGGGACTTACAGAACGCCGCAGAGCTGCTCGCGACGCGTGACGCCCACCGCGTGGCGCCAAGGGCTTCGGGGGGATGCGAGACGCCTGCGCCCAATTTCAAGCGCGACGCAGCACGCAGGCAACTCCTTCGCGTGATGTGCTTCACGTGTCACACACGCGGCGGCCGGCGCGTGGTCCGTGGGTCTTTGATCGATCCGCGGATCTATCTTCGAGCGATCCGGGGGCCTTTGATCGCTCCGCGGGCCTACCTTTCATCGGTCCGCGGACTTTTGGTCGATCCGTGGGGCCTTTGATCGATCCGTGGATCTTTGATCGATTCGCGGATCTTTGAACGATCCGCGGGTCCTTGATCGATCCGCGGCCCCTCGATCGGTCCGCGGGCTCTTGGCTGATCCGTGGGCCCTTGATCGATCCACGGCTCCCTGATCAGTCCGCGGCCCCTTCATCGGTCCACGGATCCTCGGCCGATGGAAGGGTCCGCGGACTCTTGGGCGATCCGTGCGCCCTTCTTCGGTCCGTGACTCCTTGATCGATCCGCAGGCCCTTGGTCGATCCGCGGCCCCTTGATCCATCCGCGGGCCCTTGATCGATCCGTGGGTCCTTGGTCGATCCGTGCGCGGATCACTGACCGATCCCCGGGCCACTGATTAATCCACGGGCCACTGATCAACCCACAGATTGCCGATCGATCCGCGGGCCTTAAATCAATCCACGGGCCGCTGAGCAATCCGCGGGCCCCTGGTCGATCCGTGGATCTTTGATCAATCCGCGGCCCACTGATCAGTCCGCGGACCAATAAGCAATCCGCGGATCGCTGAGCAGTCCGCGGATCGCTGGCCAGTCCTCAGATCGCTGAGCAGTCCACGGATCGCGGATCGATCTGCGGAACCAACACTGACAAGCCCACGGATCACGCCACCGATGGGCCCACGGGTCGCGGGTCGGTCCGTGGGTCGCGCGTGAAGCGTCATGTGTCACGCGTCAAAGGAGAGCAAGAGCGCCACCCTTATAGTGGGGGGTTACACGGTGGGACTAATGTGGAAAGCTCTACGGCGTTCGCCCCACCTTCCGGGAGCCTCCCTCCCTGGCGCATATATAACAAGAAACTAATGCCACAATAAGCAAAACGACTACACAAGATAGACAACAAGCAAGATTAGCACACGTCTGGGGAGTCCTTCGCCGCCTTGTTCTGCCTTGATCTTCTCGAGATCCGTTACACACTTCCGGAGACGCTCACGCCAACCAGGCTCGTCGCATCGTATCGAGCTCCTCTCTTTGATGTCTTCTGCGGACATCAGGTACTTTGTCATCCAAGTACCACCGCCGGCCAGCAACTCACTCTTTGTCGTCTCTATGCCTGCAGTGGGTCGGACGTTATATATTGCGTGTCATCCAAGGAAATATCGAAAGAAGCTGGCCATTTACAAGCATGGAGTGGGTAGAATAAAAAACAAGGGGGCCGGCCCTCTGCCAAGAAGAACGGCTACGAAGTGAAAATGTCAAAAAATACGTTGCCTCTGGAGGCTGCGCGCCATCTCGTACGCGTCTACTCGGTCCCGAGAAAGCATTCTCCGTAAGGAAGCAGGCCCCAGCAGCATTTGACGGGCCTGCCTACTCAGCTCCAGCGCGCGGCTCTTGCTTTTGTTAGAGGGTCACGGGGGCCAAAGAAACTCTGGACTTGGAGCCTGATGCTGCCGTCATGTTGTAGTAGTGCTATGCATTTTAATACGACGAGCAGAAAAACTGCGCGGGTAGTTACAATGGCGATAATGATGACTAAACGATAACAACGCAAAAACCCACGAAGGCGCGTCAGCTCGGTACTTGAGTGGTGCTCGAGTCAGTTGCCAGGTGCAACTACGTAATTTCTATCACTCCCCGTGGCCATAACTTTTGCAATCGCTTCGCCTTCTTCCTCTTCGCAAGCAAGCAGTGAATTTGGCGCACCCTCATCCGCGTGAAACAATAGAAGACACGCGTCCCTCTCTCCATCGGGAACGGGATCGGCATAGCCTTCTTCCGAGGCATCCGCGTCGGAGGCGGAGAGGACGTGGTCAATAAAAAAACCACAATTGAGCACAACCTGCACCGGCTCAGACCCGCTCGGAGCTGCTGTGCCTCCGGGCTCTTTCTTGACAAGCTTGTACTTCTCTATGACTGGGCACTGCGCAGCTGAGTGGAGTCGAAAGAGCAGAGGTTTATACTTCTAGGCAATTCAAAGAATGCTAAGTAAAGGCAATGACCTCAGGAAGCTCCATCAGCTGGGAAGCTGCGAAGAAACTCAAGTTTGAAGAAAAGGCCGGAGCGGCTTCTACTAAGTCGCACTACAGCTGAGCAATAGAGCTACAAAGTACGTCCATTAGTTACCAGATGGCGGCTCCTGTTGTGGTGGCCGATCCTGTGCCCGTTGTGCCCACTGCGGTCGTTCAGGTGAAGGCCCCTCTGGCGGCGGTGTCATGCGTGTGCTACCTGTTGTAGTGGGTCGAAGATCAATATCCAACAAGAAGCTAAAAAGGATGGCTAATTACTAGCACTCCGTCCACCGTTTCTGCCGTCCGGCCGACTTCTATCATCTAAGTCTATACTACCACCCCGATAAGCACTGCTGCCCGGCCGTCCCTCCGGCTGAGGTGCCGGCCCTGGCGGTGCTCCAGCTCCATGAGACGCCCACCCGCTCGGCGGTGTCTGCGGGGTCGGCCTCTCCTGGCTACCCTGTGAACGTGGAGGCTGTGTCTGCCCTGCGCTTGTTGCCTTTGGCTGCGGTCCACGCTGAGGCGGCGACCGTGTCGGCCCCTGCTCCCTTGTCTGTCCCGGCGGATGGCTTTTCGGCGATGCTCGCTGAGGTGCTGGCCCTCGCGGTGCTCCAGCTCCATGAGACGCCCGCCCGCTCGGCGGTGTCTGCCTTTGCCCTGCCTTTGGCTGCGGCCGTGTCGACCCTGCTCCCCGAGACGACGTCCGCCCGCTCGGCGAGTTGTGCGCGGTCTGCCCCCGCGGCTGGCTTTTCGACGATGCTCGCTGAGGTGCCGACCCTGTCGGCGGTGCTTTCTGAGGCGTCTTCGCCTGCCCCCTCTCGATCCGCTCCCGGTCGTAGGCCTGCCTCTTTTGCTGGTCAGACAATTCCTCATAGGCCTTGCCTATTTTCTTAAACATTTCGCCGGCCGAATCCGGGTCGCCTGGGTTCTTATCTGGATGATGTACCAGAGCTAGCCTGTGATAAGCTTTCTTCATGAAGGAACATGCTGAAGGCGCTGACATTAGGGGGCGTGTAGTATTTAGGTGGCCAGTCCGCGTCGCTGTCACCTGTCGCCGTCCCCTTAAAAACCGAGGCACACCCATGGGGACTGAGGTGGAAGATTTACAATTAGCGACTTTTTGGCCTACGACTCTAGAACTGTTGGACCATTCGAACACAGACTGCTAAGTCGGGTGTAGTTTCTCGGTGAGAAGCACTGAGCTTTATGCAAGTTGACCCACAGCCTGAGACTAGCGGCCTCTGGTTGGTCATTTCTCCGGGGCGAGCACAGGACGGGCCGGGCCCTTCCTCTGGGTCGCCGTGTCTTACCTCGTATCCAAGCCTTGCCCGGCGGCTTCGCGGCATGGATGCCGTTCCTCAGCCCTCCCAGTGGCGGGCATATCGAGTTCTGACATCAGTCGGATTCGAACCCTGCGGCATTCAGATCCGGAGAAAATGAGCTGAGACAATTAACCACTAGGCGAAATGATCCCTGTATATTCTTTGGGGTTGCAAGGCGGAAGTCTCAGCTTCTTCATTGGGGTACCATGATGGGGGAAGTTTCATGCGCTTCATATGGGAACGCCTACGCATGCTATCGCCATTGATTTCGCACGATCCTCCTAAATGACAGCCCTTTATGCACTTTGGACTAGGTTTCCTCTGAGGTCTTTCCGGTGGTGCTTTGTCCTTGACTGTGTTGGGAGGCTTGAGCCACAAACGAGAGAGAGAAGGGAGAAACCGCCGACACCTCAAGCGGAGGCCAACCCGCCACCATCCTCGCTAAATTGCTGCTAAATTTGCGGCCAAACCAGCAAAGGCGAAGAGTGACAACAAGGAGGCCACCGGCAGCAAAGACACGGAAAAACGAACACACCACGAAGAGACACACGACGATCCCAAAACCAAAACCCCGCCACCCTTGTAAGACACAACCCCGAGCCCCCACAAGACGAGGGGGCACTGCAGTGCGAGACACACGACTGGGCAAGAAAAGCGTGGCAAGCTGATGGGGAAGCGTTGTAGGTGAGTCGAAGCGCCGCACGCAAATGCGACTGCAGCGCCATTCTATCAGAGCACAGCCAGGGCTTCGCCCCGAGCACACGCCTGGCCATGGTGCCGCTGGAGTTGATAGTTGGTAGTTTTTTTGTTCTGCTATTTTCTACAAATGTTAGCAATGTCCACCGACTGAATACCGACCAAACATTTACACCACTAGAATGAACACACTGGAAACCACTACCACACGCATGAAAGACAGGGAAATAACTCGGGTCACTATTACCAGCCTGCGGGTGAGAAAGATGACACGACTACCACTAGGAAACGCATGAAGATGGTGACTACTACTAGGATGATGATGATGATGATGATGATGAAACTACTCGGGGAACCTGGGAACCGTTGGGACCTTGGTGCGGTTTGTCATTCTGGTGGGGATCTTCATACCATGGGAGGAACATACGAAGGACCAAGAACATAGGCGGGAACGACTGAAATCAGAACCAGCAACATAGGGACTCAGGTGGATCCTTATGGTGATTCGTCACAAACTCGACCAATGTCTTGGCTGATCTTGATCTTGCCTACATTCCCCCTCCCAAAGTAAGGACCACCACACAAAACTCCACACCCCAAGCGTTACACACGACTCTCGATTACAACTTCGAGAAAGTGACAAAATGCGCTCTGGCTACGGACCTCAACTCTTCGTCGTCTTGCGCACGAAATAGCTGTAGATATCTGAGCCAGACCCTTCGCGAGAGGGTCTGCACGGTTCAAGTCCGTTGGACAATAACGCAGGTTCTTGGCATGGTCGCGGACTGCGTGACACCGAAGATCGATGCGCTTCGATCGCTTCGTCGTTACTGTAGATTTCCTGAGACCTAGAGCAGACTGACTATCCACGAACGCACCTCCTGAGCCTTCTGTCTCTAGATACCAATCAAGAAAGCCTTGGGCCGTACACATCTTGATAGTGTCATACACAGCGACACACTCAGCCTCACAAGTGCTATGTGCTCTGACTGTTTGTCGTTTGACGGACCACGCAGCGGGAACTCCGCGAAAGTACAAGATACTACCACTGGTTGACTTCAAGGCTACTGCACAACCAGCAAAGTCAGAATCGCTGCACGCAACTGACTTACCTACCTCTTTACCCGCTTCCGCTGCTACCTTTCTGTATACTTTGTTGCAACCAGTCTCGATCTCGGGGGAGTATTCGAGACCTACGTCTTTTGTACCTTTTAAGTATTGAAGAATGCGCTTTGCTCGCTTCATTCTTCGTGTTCTCAGTGGGGTTAGCCACTTCACGCGCCACACGTTGTACTGCGGATACTATGTCCACTCTACACAGGGTTGCGATATACATCAAACCTCCGACCAGACTACGCAACGGGAAGTCGCCAGTCATAGGGGTATCGGATTCAAGACTGTACAACACGGGCGAGGACACAGCTCGACGCTCGGCCATGTTGAATTTTCGCAATAGACGATCGACTGCCTCACGCATGTGAATCCTGCACCACCGTCGGGAAGGGTTATACTCTAATACTGCTTCAAACATGTCCCAAACTTTAGTGCCGTCGTCTTTTACATCGGGATCGATCACCTTACCGGGGTACTTAGCGAGAATTTTGCCCATCTCACTTTTCACAATTTCAACAGACGCACCACTGATTATGTTGTCGCCAACATAAACACCCAATGTGAGGACACTACCGCAGACTTCTTTTCGAAATAGGCCGGGTTCACGGGGACACATCTCCCAACCAAGTTCTTCTAAACACTTTCGATAACAATCGAACCACCTTCGGGGGGCGATTCGAAGTCCATGCAGAGACTTCACTAACCTTACCAAGTCACCTTTTGGGTTGTCACTCCAATGCTTGGGAAGTCGTGCTATGGCTTTCTCGTCACCTAGATGACTTTCTCGTCACCTAGAGCTGCACCAATGAGCGCATTGCTTATGTCGAAAAATTCAACATAGTGTCCCTTTGCAGCTGCGTCATAAAGAAGCACTCTGCTAGCGGCGTGGGAGATCGTTGGGGAGTAGATCTCGCCACACATCGACGCTCTCTGCCGATTACCTAACGCAACAAGTCGGGCTTTATACCTACCACACCTCTTACGAGTATAGATGACCACACTAGGCACGATTTCATCTCCTGGCTGAAGCTCTCCTTCTTCTAAAGGTCGCCAGCACTTCATCACCTCGAGTGCTAAACGCTCCCTGTCGTCTGCTTCCAACCATTTGACGGCGTCGGGACCTTCGTGGGCCTCAGACCTTGTCGCCGTTACTGTGTACAAGTAGCGCTCTTCCTCTGTTTCGTCAAAGTACTTTTGACACATTTCTGGCACATCTTTACCAATGTCAGGCAGGTTACTTTGCATTTCGTCTATAGCGTCTACTGTCTGAGCATAGGCGAAACTATCTGCTACCAACATACACGACACGAGGGCACTTGCTCTGCAAAATGCTGCCACAGAAGTCGGCCGGGGGCCAGGCTTCTTCCACCATGGTTTTGCTTTACAACCTTTTGGACGACCGCGCTTACGCTTCGTAACACCAGGGGGGGAATCAGCAGGAGTCTCTTCTTGCTGATCGTTACTACTACTAGCGGGAGAAGGGGAAGACGGACTATTTACTTCGGGGGGTACTGACGCATCCGAATCACCATTCACCGCACCCACCTGGGGGAGATCCACTGGGGGATCACCATCGACGACATTATCACCTACAGACGGTTCAGGCGCACTCTCGTCACCCTTGTCACCAGGAGCCACACTATCCAGGTGATCAGATCCGGTAGGAGCCACACTAGGATCGTCAGGCACCCGAGGAGCAACACCAAGAACATCTTCAGGGGATACATTTACTGCTTCAAGCTGCTTGTAGTCGGGATACTTCACAAATACTCCTTCCTCGTCAGGTTTTAGGTCGTCGATGTTGGAAATCAAGACAGACTCATCAAATCGAACAGTTCTGCTTTCAATGGCGGAAAACTTCACGCCGAGGGCTGTTCGATTATCCTCCCTCCAGACACCTACCAAGAAACACGAATTACGCGAATACCCTAGAAATATACCGCGCTCGGCTCTGGGGGCCAACTTACTCGAAGTTGCTACGTGAATCTTTGCAAAACACAAACACCCAAAACGACGGAAGTGCTTCGTGGGAGGCTTCCTGCCGTAACGTTTCTCAAAGACGCTCACTCCGTCCCTTCTAGGTAGTCTCTGATAAACGTGAGGCGCGTAGTCTTCTGCACACCAAGACCAGACTCTGTCGTCGACTCCGATGAGATTTGTACGGATCGCGTTTTGCGAAGTCTGGCTCCATCTTTCTACGATGCCACTACGCCATGGGGTGTATGCTGCACTATACTCAGCGCGAATTGGTGGGACTTGCTTTGCACAAAACAGACGCCAGCGAGATCTTTCACCCTTGAAAGCAGGCTCGTTGTCACTACGAACGGTTTCCATCTGTTTGCTGTCTCTGAGGACAACACTCATCTTTAGCTTTCAATGCGTAGTTTTCTGGCCAGCCTAAACGCATGCTGATCCATCATAGACAGACGCTAGATTTCACCAGTAACAGCACGGGGGCACTGTCCTGTAAAGTCACAGTCTACTTTCTCGTTGAATTTGGTCGCCACCGTATGAGCAGGCCGCTCACCAGCGCCAGAAGCCCTAACCTTTGACATGTTGCACCCGTGACAGTTATCGATTACTAGACCTGGGGCGAAAAGATGTCCACATTGCTGATGGACCCTAAGCTTAGCCGCAGCGGAGAGTGAAGCCGAAGACCCCTCCTGAACCTTAGCTGGGCTAGCCGAAGTTGACTCTATCTTCTTGTAGAAGTCAACGTCTACCACAGGTAGACCTGTTTGGGTTTCGTTGTATACGGGGACACACCAACCAGAAGCCTTATGCAGGATATTCGACTCCGGTTTATCGAGAACTACTCTGCAACCGTCCTCGTTTAGTGCGTCAGCACTGACTAACATCCGAGTAAGCTCCGGGCGGAAACAAAAGGCCAACCGTGAGCCCCAAGGAATTCTCTTTGAAGATACCTTTCACGGCGGGGCGTGAGAGTGCTCGGCCCGCCACATTTAGCTTGACGCGCTGTGCGGGGTGCACACACTTAAAAAGGCTTTTATCGCCACTCATGTGGTGCGAAGCACCACTGTCACAAACACAGGGGACCGCAGTGTTTACTTTCCTTTTCTTGGAAACACCACCAAGAAAACAACTACCACCATCTTCATCATCATTACCTTCACCATCGCCATTGCTCTTACTATCTATCTCACCACCTAAATGCAGACGATAATCTTTATTCTTTGAAAACAGTGCAGAATCTCCTTTGTTTTGTTGTTGTTGTTTTTCTTCTTTACCATCGTCCTGAATATGCAGGATCGATGTGTACGCTGCTGTTGCTGTTTCTTTCGTGACAACAGCAGCGCCATCCGCCTCCTTTTCTTCTGAAGTGGATGCCCGGCCACCTTCTTGGGTGCCGCTGAAGACCGAGCACAAACTCGCTACTTTTCTTTGTTCTTGTTCTGGTTGCAAGTTACTGAAGTTACTTCTTTTACGGTCTGAATGCAAATTACTTACTTTACTCACTTGCTGCAAATACTTACTCACGGTCTTTTGTTGTTCTTTGGATGCAGGATAATACTCATTCAAATGCAAGTTAAAACGAACTTTCTTCTTCAGAGCAACTGTTTCTCCACGATGCTCTGTGTCTTCTTCTTCTTCCTCCTCCTCTTTGCTTTGGTCTTCTCCTCTTTGACCTTCTTGTTCAGCACTGCCTAAAGCAGCATCTTTACCAAGATTTTCGTCTTGTTCTACCAGGAAAGAAGTTGCTCACTTCTTTCCTCCCGCCTGAGGACATGCTGCGCGCATGTGCCCCTTCTTGCCACACAAGTGACAAGGTCGCTGTGCTGGTTCTACCCATCCTCCGGCGGATGTGTTGTTGTCTTTGCCGTGCTTTCCTTTACCTTTGCCTTTGCCTTTCTTCTTTTCAAAGGGCTTACGTACCTGCCAAGGGTTACCACCGGAAAGCAAAGCTTTCGCGTTTTGCTTCTGCATCTGAGTATTGATAGCACCACATACCAAACTTTTCAACTCAGCCCTTGACACAAAAGCGCCACCAGCTTCTTCTTGTTGGACCTTCTTGCTGTTGGTCGTTGTACCGGCAGGCGACATCTTTACGTGACTGTCGTCTTCACCCTGCAACCGGAAATGCTCTACATACTCACGAGCATAGGTCCTTAGTTCTTCTGTTCCTTTCGATCCACCAATAACATGAGGGACCATTTGAGAGGACAGAGGATCTCCTAGGCGGTAGAAGATCCCGAAGCGTAGAAGTTCTTGAGCGTCTACTTTACCACCGAGCTCATCACGCAAGACGGCCTCCTTCCTGTCGATGAATGCGTCGACTGTTTCTTCCGGTTGCTTCGCCGAGTCTACCAAAGACTCGACGCTGCTCATGCGTGCGCGTTCTGTTGCCTCGGTGCAACGCTTATGCAGTTTCTTCAGCTTTGCCATAAGCGTGCGGCTTTCACCTGGGTTGGTGGTCGTAACAGCTTGCAACTGTTTACCTTTGACGGCACCTGGAAGGCCCACTGCGAGTCTTCGTAAGGTGTTGCTTTCGTTTAAGCTCCACTCTACTTCTGTACCACCCAGATCCTGCTGGATCTTGGTCGAAAGGGTGTCCGGGCCGTGGGCGTCCGCCACCGTTAACACATGCTCCAACCAAGCACGCCGCTCTTCCTTCTGCGTAATCTCGGGCAGAACAATTGGCCTAGGGGGCGCCATTGTTTCGGTACTTGGTGGGGCTGGCGGCTCTCCTCCACCTGTTTCGTCTCCTGCCATTCTTCAGACTGTTGAACAAATGCGAAAATTTTTGCTGCCTAGTACTGCTACCCTACTACTGCAAACATACAAAGGCGAAAAGGATGGCAGTAGAATGTTAGCAATGTCCACCGACTGAATACCGACCAAACATTTACACCACTAGAATGAACACACTGGAAACCACTACCACACGCATGAAAGACAGGGAAATAACTCAGGTCACTATTACCAGCCTGCGGGTGAGAAAGATGACACGGCTACCACTAGGATACGCATGAAGATGGTGACCACTACTAGGATGATGATGATGATGATGATGAAACTACTCGGGGAACCTGGGAACCGTTGGGACCTTGGTGCGGTTGGTCATTCTGGTGGGGATCTTCATACCATGGGAGGAACATACGAAGGACCAGGAACATAGGCGGGAACGACTGAAATCAGAACCCGCAGCATAGGGACTCAGGTGGATCCTTATGGCGATTCGTCACAAACTCGATCAATGTCTTGGCTGATCTTGATCTTGCCTACCACAAAAGTGAAGGTTTATACTCGTGCTTTTAACAAGAAGCACGAGCCTGCTGCCCGGAGAAGAATCCACGACAAGACTGCCAGTGCTTCTGCTCATGTGCATCGGGGTATTCGGTGAGGACAACGGGAAAGAAAGGACATGACGAAGTTCAACAAGGTAGCACATCATTATAAAATTCATAAACATGAAGGCCAAGACTGATTATTTGAAATTAAATAATTAAGTAATTTGTTCGCTGAGGGGGTAGCGCTTCTTCTCATGAAAATCGTCCGCAGACGACAAAAACGAAAGTCCGGCCGACGTGGATACTTCGACGCTGTCGCCTCCTGCGACACATCGGCCGGCCACACTGCTGCAAGCGCCTGAACGCGTCGGAAACACAGGTAGAGGTCTGCGATATTATTCCCGTCTAAAATTTTGCTTACTTCGTGCCCTTGACTGCGTTGACCAATCCGCAGGCCTTAGCGTTTTGCGTCGCAATCTTCTCCGCGGATGCAGCCATCGCAAGGGTGAGCTTCTGGGAGAGCTCCCGATATTTGGCGTCGTTCTGCTCGGAGAAAAAAACCACACCAAAGCGCAACTTCTGCTGCAAGTTCTCAGCGGCGGAAACGGCTGCAGAGAAAGTGGTGATTTGAAAAATTAAAAAGGAAGGGGAGCCTCCACAAGTAAGATAAGGACATCACTAATTATCTCAAAATAATCACACAAGCATGCGAAAAGAGACCACAAGAGAGAACGACAACACTACCCAGTCGAGAAGAAGCAAAGCCTCAAGCGGCAGAGAAAGAGAGATATACCTACAAAAACAACGAAGACCGAATCTATAGGCTAAAGCTAATACCTGCGGGAGTCGGATTGCCCTCGGAAATTGCCGCCACGAGTTGGGCGAACTTGCTCAGAATGGGGTCAACGTTGGTTGGCTTCATGCCATTTTTTCCGGCGAGGCGGTTGGCGTAGTCGAGGACGATCTTCTCCTCCTCATTTCCTTCGATCAAACCGAGGCGGCAGGTTTGCAAGCGTTCACGGAGGGAAGCACCCAGAAAGTCCTGCATCTTGCGGGCAGCGCCATCCCACTTGCCACCAAAGACCCAGGTAAGCGGAATGGTAAATTCCGCCTCGCAAGCCTTGAGAGTGTTGCCCTGCTCCTGATTCAACTTCTCAGTCGCAGTCTCCAACGACAAAACTTCCGCGGTGAGCTCGGGAGACGCGAGGCGACGCATCTCCGTCAGCAGACGAAGCCTGGATGTGAATGCTTAAAAATATATAGAGATATAAAATAATAAGCCGACGAAGGAAACAACACCAAGAAATAAGAACCAAAAGAACACGAAGCGGAGACCTATCTTCAAAAGCCAAAATCCCTCTACCTCAACTACAGAAGCGAACTCAGACCAGCTGATTAAGAGACAACAAAAAACTAAGCACATCCAAGATAAGTATATACTTGGAAGCCTCAGGCGGCAAAATGTTCGAAAGGATGCGCTTGCCATCTTCGCGGGCAAAGCGAACGCTCTGGAACACGGTCAAGGGCATGACCAAGCTGGGCACGATGTTGCTGCCCTCCAAGTTCTCCTTGCATAGAAAAACGCCAGCCATGAAATCGTAATGGAATTTGGCACCAACTTCGCGAGCCGCGGCCATCAGGATGCCGTAAAAGCCTCCAGCGTTGCCAGCCGCACGGGAAGAGTCCAGCTCCTTGTTCAGTCTGAGGCTGATGTCCTTGATCTCCTTCTCGCTGAGAGCCGTTCTGCTCTTAACCGCTTCACCAACCGGGCGCAGCAAATGGTTTTGAGTTTGTTTAGGAAGATTGATCCACGAAGAAATAAAATCCCAAGAAGCTCTCACATCAAATAAAAACATCAAAAAGTTAAAACCTACAAGCAGAAAAACAAGCAGCGATAGACTGAACGACGCCCAAGTTAGTAAGTCGGCACACTACTAGAAAAAGTGCCCCACTAAATGAACGACAGAAACAGAGTAAGCCTATGCACGTTGCGAGTCTTTTGGTGGCCGTCCATCTCGGTAGCCTTAGCGCGAATAGCAGCGTCGTAGTTCACAAAGATCGACTTGGTCTCGACCTGGTCGAGGATGTCGCGTGCCTCGGAATACTGCGCGCCAATCAGCTTGAGGGTTTTGTCCTTGGGGTGCTCCATCAGATAACCATAGGCGCGCGCCGTTCCTGGGGCGCATTGATTCAGTCCGTCGGTGAACCTGGAGGCTGTTGCGATAGATAGATAGAAGGAGCAGACGGAGAAGATACGAAGGCGAGACTAGTGGCGGCGTTTTGTAGTCCTAGTAGATGGGTCACGAAGTAGACCTAACAGAAACCCAGGGAATTGCCGGACGCTATGAGATGAAAATAAACAAGTAAAAAATACCGGATACAGAAGTCAAGTCCTGCGTCGTGTATCCGTGGGAGGCGCGGCTCACCAACATCTTGCAGAGGGCCTTGCTGATTTTGTCGTACGCCGCCGAATTAATGTAGACACCTGGAAGAGGAGACGAAAAAAATATAGACCAGATGAGCGAAAATTCAAGAAACGCGATTCGTCTTTATTACGTTGCGCAAGAATGAAAAAGATGAGAACCGACAAGGAGGGTAGAAGCCCTGTAACCCCGAGCAACATCGTTAAACCAAAAAAGTAAGTACGTCCTCCATAGAGCGCCACCGAGTAGACTGCGCGCAACAACTCCGCGTTTCCAGCGGAGTCACGCTTTTTGATCAAGCCCAACAAACCACGACCAGCATCCCAGTCGCCAGCTTCGTTGTCCGTGAGAGCGACGCCGAGCTCTTGCTTGTTCAAATCAGCAGCGATAGCGTGCTGCTCGGCAATGTCCACCTTCGTATCGAGCGCAACATTGCACTGCTGCGCCAAAGCCTGCGCATTGGGAGACAAATCACCATACTGCGACTCATCGCTCAAACTATTGACATCAACACCGGGCCCACCAAGAGAAAGACCTGGAGCACCACCAGCAAAAGGGATGCCAACGCTGGATGTAGTCGAAGACGAAGCACCAGGAGCAGCCGAAGAAGAACTGCCAGAATTGGGGCCGACTTGTTTGGAAGAAGCAGAACAGAAGTGGAGGTAGTGGTAGTTGTGGAAGAAGAAGGAAAAGTAGTAGTCGTGGTGGTAGTTGTAGACGTAGCGTTGGAAGTGGTAGAAGTGCAAGGAGGTCCCCCCAGACCCATACCGTCGTCGCCGGACATGGGGTTCGTCTGGTCGTCATCTTTCTCGCGCAGAGCCTCCGCATGTAGCCAGAGAAACTTCGTGAGTTCTTGATTTTGCTGCTCCACACGGTCGATCCCGAAGATCAAAGCGACACTGCTGCGGACTGTGTCCCCATATTGCTCAGCCTGTTTGCGAGTGTCGGCGTGGATGGCAGCGCGAACGACCTCCCAGACCTTGTCCTTAAAGGTCAAGGTCTTGAAGGTCGTGCAGCGTTTCCCGATATGCTTGGCCAAGTACTGAGAGGGCGCCAACAAAACACCGGGCGAAGACTTGTCGCTGATCAAGGGCTTCCTCAAGGCCTCAGCGTTGAAGCGCCAACTCTTGCCGTTCCTATTTTTGTTCTTGAGTGACTCCCAGACGGCGTCCTCCTTGGCCTTTTCGTCATCACCAGTGAGCTCTTTTTCAACACGTTGACGCGCGGAATTGCGTACTTTTCCGATCTTGTCGGCGGTGCTCACATCAACGAACATGGTGTCTCCTTCGGCCTGTAAGAAGTGGCATGGGAATCACGATGAGGAGAAAGAAAAATCGACACACCAAAAAGATGAGGAGGAGGAGGAGGAGATAAAGTATACACTTCATAAAAAACAGACGGAAATAAAATGGACCAGGCTGCTAATTAGACTGCTAAGCTTGACGCTAAGCACGGCGCTATATAACGTGCTAAAAAAGCTGCTAAGTGAGCTGCTAAATTGGCATGCTAAATTCTACACCTGCTAAGTTGATTGCTAACAAAGCTGCTAAGTAATGTGCTAAGTGAGTTGCTAAATTAGGTGCTAAAGCGTGTGCGTGGTAGTGCAGGGCCGGGCGGGTGCTAAAAAATGTCCCAAGTGTTACAATTAAGGAAATTGCACGACATTTCTGACCCCCTGTCGATTTAGCACGAATTTAGCAACTAAATCGACCCTGCACTACCACACGTTTTACCACAAATTTTGCCTCGATATCTACACGACTGAGAAACCAGAAAAAAATGAATAATACCTGCAGACCCGCGCCCAGCGTCTCCTGCGCATCACCTTGATCACCAGCGAGGTCAGCAAACATGCTCCCAACAGTGGGACTCTCCTCCGTCTCCTCTTTCGGGGGGGTATTCAGCAACCCCGCCTCAGCGCGGTCGCGCTTGGTGCCATTGGCCGCCGGTGTAGAGGAACCTCCGCCAACGTGGTCGGCCATCGTGTAGAAGGAAGATGTTGCTTTGCGGACGTTTTATTACTTTAAGTCTTTCAGTATTTAAAACATCGAATCTGCGAGGAAGGTGAGGCTGCTCCAATGATAAAAAGGCGACGGCGATCATGTAGAAGAAGTAGTAGAATCAACGAACGGCGACCAGCATCCACCACCACGATCTTGCTCAACTCCATGATCTCCTCCTATTGACGCAGGCCCCAGCCAATGAGAATAGGCTAGAAACTATCCAGAAAAAAGTACGAAGGTGAAAAATTCACAGCACGGGTTACGCCAAGGAAATGCACAGACACGACACAGACCGACTGCAGCAGACAGAAAAGCCGGCCACCCACTCGGCCGAAGCAGTAAGCAACAGCAAAACAGAGCCGCACAACCTGACTCACCTCAGCCACATCCCTCCCGCTCAGACAGATTCCAAAACCACTCCGAGCGGCGCAGCGCCGGGCGTCTTACTATCTTCCTATGCTCTCGCGTGCGTTCTCTCTCTCGTCCCTCCTCCTCACACTCCTCTCAATTCGGTCGCCGCTGCTGAACAAGTCCCGCCCACACAGCCCGAAGTCTGGCACCCGCTGCCCGCTACATTCTTCAATAGTAGCGGCGAAAACCCCCGCAGGGGTTACATCTAAAACTTCATGGGTCGGGTTCGGTGATTAGGTTTTTCATTGCTGCACTGTCTTCAGAGTCTCTCCAGACTCGCTGAAGCGGTACAGCGTCAAGTGTGTGAGCACTTGAATTCTCAAGACGTTTATATTGAAAATATTCCCCGACATGCAAAGGCTGGAATGCCTGAGACAGTGGGGATAGACGGGCAGCACTGGCTCGCGGCCTCTAATAATTCACGACGATGGACATTTTTTCATATTGTTTCCCCTTACGCCACACGATACACCCTAGTAAAGTGCCAATCCTCATCCCTTGGTGATATTTGGGCAATATTGTCCCCGCAACTTAGTCTCAGCACTTCTCATCCCCTTACCTCCACTCGTTGGACCACCAGCAGAAAATACCTAAGAAAGATGCGAGGACTTAATAACAACAGATATGGGGCACCACTATCATCCCCTTCATTTTTCTCATAATTCTTTTATATTTCGCGAACTCATGAAGAAACCCCCGCAGGGGAAATAGGTCGAAACATGTTGCAGCCCTACTTCATCAAACAACTCATAGACTACCGCCCTTGTCGTGAAATGTTATCACCTCAACTGATGAAATAGAAGCCACATGCTGTCTGTGCACGTCTCTCAGTGACTTCCTCTAATGGCGTCGAACAATACTAGACCACTCCCAAAAGATGTTATCAATTCAACGTCGGAAATAAACAGAGAAGGCGCCATATTTATAGATTCTCTCATTAAGTATGAAATATGACTCGGGTGGGGAATGAATTGAAACACTCGCTAGATGTTCGCATAATCATTACACCAGAAGATCAATGAACTTTTGAGAAGATGGAAGCCAAATCTTGCATGGTGGTACGAGCTTCGAGGTGGTGGCTGCAGTAAACAAGAACGCGAAACAATTATGGCGCGGTAGTATCATCCTGAAGCTTTCACGGGCTAACATGTAAAAGATTTCATAGCTAGCCAACTTCTCTGCGCAGGTCTCTCTGTGGTGTTTAGCTACAGCCGACTTCTGCAAGCAGAAGGCGACAGCGCTCTTCATCAACAACAGACTTCATCTTCTCACTTAGTCAGAGTCTTCATCTGCAGCAGCGGCCGCGCCAGCATCGCCGTGCTGTCCCTCAGCCTCTTCCCTGGACTCCTCATCCTGCAAGACACCACCGAGCCAACCAGCATCATTGCCCTGTGCGGCTTGGGCTGCAGCTTGGTCCATGTAGTGCTGCATCGAGAATCCTTGCGCGATAGGAGCTGGCCCAGCGCTGTTCCCCGCACGAGTTGCCTGGTCCACCTTGATGGCAACTTGACTGATTTTGTCCATGAACACGAAATGCCAACGGTTATCCGCCTCGTTGAAGCATTTGCGAGCCTTTTCGACAAAGCCTGTGGCTGGGTGGAGAAGCGGACTCTTAAGAAGAAACTTGTGAAGTTCTTGATTAGTTACAGGCAACATAGCTGAAAGAATTAAAGAGAACACGACTAAGATCAATCCCGTTGCAATCTTCAGACCTAACCCACAACATTCTAAAAAAATAGACAGTCAAGGACACCAGCGGCGAGAGCCTGATCCACCGCGGTGAGCATCGTTTTGGACATGTACCCGACAAAAGCCGAACGAAGCAACGACATCAGCAACGTCAGCACGCTGTCATGCGCACCGTTGTCATACTCCTCGATCAAACGGGCGACAGTCTCCTGATGAGCACGGTGGTCCACGTAGTCCCCCTGCACCACCTTGATCAAGTTGATGACGAGCTTGGCCGCAATGGTGAACCCCTTCGCCGTATCCTGCGAGAACGACTCAAAGTCCTTCACGAGCTCAGGGGAGTTCTGCACGACGCCGTTGCTGTTGAACCCAGCAGCCACCATGTTGAGACTCGCGATGAAGACGTTCTGATCCTGCAGATGACCACCTTCAGCAAGACGAATCAGCTTGCGCTTGAGTCTTCCCTGCGAAAGCGTCTTCTCCACCGCCTTGGCAAGCGCGCGGCTCTGAGAGAAGACGAAGGCTGATAATTAACACGGATCAGCATGCAGCGAATGGTTAGGGTCTGTCATCAAGATAAAGAGAGACAAGACGTCAAGGCCCGCGGTTTTCTACATGGAGAACATAAGATCTTGGCATAGAGGCTAGGCCTCAGCCGTGCAAGAATCTAAAAACAGTCCCCGCCGGTAATCTACACCGTCCTAGAATACTACCAAAAAACTACCCGACCACATAACAAGCTACCTTGAATCCCCAATCGTCCGCAATTTGGATCTTCCACACGGCGCTCAATCCAAGAAACATAGGACTCGTAATGGCAACACCGAGAGCGTTGGCCAAAGTTGTAAACCAATGCTGCGCGTTGATGTTGACCTGTGTGAGGGTGTGAGTTTGATGAGCAAGGAGAGGCTCTGAAACGAGAAAGAGACCACACGAAGAAAATGAGAAGAACTAAAAAATGGATAAGGATTGCAGTCTATTGGTCGAGTGTGAATCACTACCGAGTTTGAGAGAGAGATGAAAATCTGTACCAACTGCCACGGGTTGCGCTCAAGACTGCCGCCAGGTAATCCCGCAGCAAGTCCCACGATGAGCAGCTTGGCGAAAAAGTCCCAACCTCCTTTGATGATGGACTCCTTGGCTTGTTCAGAGCTAAGACCGCCGAACGTCGCCGCGTCGTTCGTGGGATCGACAACCATCATCCGAAGCTTGTCCTGGTTCTGGTCCGTAACCGCAGCATCGATCAGCTGGTGATTGAGTTTGATTAATTTGAAAAAGAAACATCAACACCGCCACGAGTTGAACAGTAGATGGGCCACCTCATCACACTACTTCAAAAAGTGAAAGTCTTGCCATATCTAAGAGAGCCCGGCGGCATTTCAACACTAGCAAGCACATCACAGAGTTTCAACGAATGAAACATCTAAAAGGAGAAAATACCGCAGCAATGGTCTCGCTCGTGAAGTACTTGCGCATGACGCTCTGCGGTGGCTCTTGCGTGAGAACGGCGCGCTTCAGCTGCACCAGCGGAGCCATGTTTCCATCCTCGCAGGGTTGTTTGATGCCTTGATAAAATTGATCCAGGCACTCCAAGTCCTTGGCCTCGTTGTGGTTCGTTTCGATCCTGTTGGGTTTCGAGACGATGCACGTTGAAAGTTATCAGGGTGAAAGGATTGCGAAGGTTCGGTGTGGGATAAAAAACAAAGTAGCAGACTGGTAGTCGCATAGCTCGACGATGATGCTTGAGACTAAGGTTTAGAATGCAGCCAGAGTGAAACACCAAGAGCCTCCAACTAGGTCAGCCTACTTCTTTACAAGAAAAACCAAGAAAACAAGACTACCAGTCCTTGAACCCACGAAGGGTAAGAGGCGGGCCTCTATCGTTCTTCGCCTTGATGATTCCATGCTCCACACAAACCAACGCCATGGCCTCCAGTTTCGCCTTGCGCTCAACCTTTGTGGTCTTCTTGTTCGCCTTAGATAAGCCCTTCAACATATTCGCACCCCCAGCGCGGGTGGTCTGTTGCTCTGCTTTCAAAGCGCCACTCGTCTGCTAAGAGAGAAGTGAGGAATCGACTTCGATGGAGATGGCTGCGCCGTTTTTAGAAGTATGGAAAGCTCCAAGATGCTGAGCTGTAGTCTCGTTGCAGCATCAAGAACATTTCTAAAAGATAAGACGTGAAAACTTGAAACGGTATGAGTATGAGTATGCCAATGCCAGCCAGAAACTGCACAGCTAACCGTAAAGAATAGTAGCCAAGTCCATAGTCTAACGATATACATTAAGCAAATCCAGCCCCGGGTCCGTGAAACCATCCAAGCCACCTTGGTCCGCCAGAGCGTTGGCAAAATTCGCACCAGTCGGAATATCAGCGATGTTCTTCGAGGTGGTGCTGCAGACCACGAGGGCCTGCTGGATCATGATCATGTCCGGGCTGAGGTACTGGGTAGGGGCTGGAGCCAGAATCTGCGAGATCGTCTTCTTGGTATTGCGTCCCACGTTGCGGAACTCATTCTTGACGGCAAGCTCGATGCGCGGCTCCTCCTGTAGAGTGGGAAAAGACAAAATAACTTAGAATCCACTACGTTGAAGCCCAATTGTCTTGGGGGAGAATTTGCTGCAGTGTCACACGTTACACATATAAACCAAGGGAGTAAATGGTCTGAACCTGAAGTCGCAAAATCGAAATAGAACACGGGTGAAAGTCTATCCGTCAAATTCAATCCATCTAGCAACTACCTTCAGCCCACAGCGTTTCATGATCTCTCTCGCCTCATGAGTGCTGTCGTGCGCCTTCAGCTTCTTCCTGTTGTTTCCGGCGTTTCCGTCGTTGTTTCCTGGCATCTTGTTGCTGTGTACTGTGTGCGCAGTTTGTTGTCTTATCTGAGTAGAGACGTCCTCCCCCGTGTGCAATCTTGATGGAAGTTTCTACTGTGATGGACTGAGAGACAAGAAAAGCAATGACTGTAGATCGTGGTAGGAGAGTACTCCGATAGACTACACCCTTAGCTGAAGTACTGCAACAGCACATAGATCAGCCAATCACGCACGTTAGTCAAGATCTACACCATACGCCTGAAAAGAAAACACCAGCCACATCATCCATCTTCGCAAGACTAGCCATCGGTCTACGTTGTTATCTTATTGCAAGACTAGCCATCTACACTAGTATACACCAAACCGCGTCGATCATGGTGAGCAGACTCATGAAGGGTTTTTGCACATTCACTCAACCACAAGCCTACACGATCCGCCTAGTCTCTCGCGTGATCGTTTGGTCATTGGGTCCACGGCTGAGACGAGATCAGCTGCGCAGTGGCAGAACGTTCGAGGCCTACGAGCATGCGGCTTGATCATGCCTCTTGCTGTCAAGCAACCTTCTCGATCCTGAAACGCGTCAAGCGATCCTTGACCTGAACACCTTACTTGCTCCCGCTTCACTTCTACAGGCCCACGCTGCCTATCGTGTCCATCTTAGTCCCCATGTAGAAAGCACCCTCCGCCCCTTGGCACTGTGGCCTTTGTCTTGGCATTCATCTCACAGCATACTCTTGCACTTTTATGACGATCTGGCTGCTGTCATCTTGTGCAGTATACTGCCGGCTCATGCTTTTTCCATTCAGTTGATTGCTTCACGCATCATCAAGAGGAACCCAAGAGAGCGACTTGATTGATTTATTAGTTTCCAGCAACTTGCGTAGTTTCTAGATACTCGATGTGTCAACTTCGAGAAAGTGGAGTCGTAACAAGTGCAGTCTTTATCTTCAGAAAACTTTTTGCATACACCTCGAAGAAACATGTCAGAAACAAGTCAGAAACTTTTGCCCTACTTTAGAAAGTTTCTAGAAACTATGAACTTTTTTTAGAAACTAGCGCTTTTTCTAGACGTCATGCCTTTTTCCGAAGTGAAACATCGACACCGCTACGCGAATTTCATTTGAAACTTTTCGAAGTTTCTGGATCCCTGTACTTTCCAGAACATGAATCCGAAAAGTTTCTAGAAACTCCACAGCGGAAAACACCAGCGCCAGAAGCGGCGCAGCGCGCTGATCTTACATCCGGCTACTTTCAGATATAACCTAGAACCTAAAGCAGACGCTAGCCGATGACTTGACTCAACGCACTACTGGGCTAATCAGTTAAAATTTAGCAAGCTACAGCATATAACAACCTACTACATACTACTGGTAGTTTTTATATAAATGCCGACTAGGCGGCTCCCTTGAAAGGCAAGAGACAGGAGCAATATCCTGCCCCACGCTATGCGACCGCTTACTTATAGAACTCAATCCCCTCAAGCTCTGCAAACTATTCAACAACTATACGCCATTTCTCTAATCCCTATAAGGTGTAAGCTCTAGCATTTTTGACCGCGGTCATTTTTATGATAATCCATGAAATTCTCGTGCACATCTGTCCTAGATAGGTGGATGGTATGACATTGATCTCTAATCATTATTATGCAAAGGCCACAAAATCAAAAACGACACAAAACTGGTTAGTAGTCATACTCTTCAAAAAACTCATCATAGTCAGGCATGTCGTCGTATGTCTCGTCCTTATATCCTGCTTGACACAAGTCCAGAGCCACATCGCACAGCTGCCGGACTTTAGCAAAAGCCTTCTTGTTTTCACCCTGAAGACGAGGCCAACACTTTTCACCCCGGAGGATGATGTCCGCAGTGTATGCCTCGAACTCCGTCTGTAGGCGCTCCTTGTCACTACATCGATAAGATTGGTCCTTGAAGTATTTCCCTAGCCTGTCCAGAATAAATCTGGCACGGATACACCAGAGGGCAGCAAGGTGCCCGACCTCGATCTCAGAGCCTTCGCGGCAGCCGAATTTCCGAGCCGCCTTGGTTTTAGCGTTGCTGATGAGATCCACACCGGTTTCGCGAACCGCTCGAAGGAAACGCTCCTGCCGCTGATCCAAGACCCTGGCTACGATGTTATCGGTCAGCTTGCCATTGATCCGCCAGGTAGTGATACTAGACCCCTCGACGATCGCGAGTCCCTCGATCTGCAGCGGCTCCAAGGGTGCACTGATATGCATTTTTTGCCGGATATGATCTTGCTCGATGCACGGCGGGATGTCCATGGCAGCCGGCTTCCCCTTCTGTGAAGGTTTTAACTTTTGCAAGTCCTGCTTTGGGTTGGAGAGGGACTCAGGAAGATCACGGGCAGGAGACTGATCGCCCTCATCATTCACTACGGCTTTTTTCTTCTCCGCCTTCCTCTGCACTTTCTTTTCTACTCGGCGCTCCTCCATGATTTTCCCTATCTCCTGTCGCTTTAACGTTTTCCGCGCTTGCTGGTTCAAGATACATAGGGCCCAAGTAGCTCATCTGCCTTGACGCTGCTTGGAGAGAAGAAGCCTGCTTTTGATCTTTCTTCTGCTGCAGTACATGGACGCGCCTGCCTTCTGCAATTGAATTTGAAGCACTACTTGTCCATCAACAGCCAGTCCCTGCGGCTGCGCGCGAAAAATGCGCCAGCTACAACTCGCGCACTTCTCCTCCTGTAGCAGTACTTGGCTATGAGTAAAGCCATCCGCAATGTAGTACACAGTTCCACCGCCGCGAACAGCCATCGGAGTCACATTCAAAGCACTAAAATCCATACGCTGCTGGTCAATCCGGACAACTAGCTTCGCCTCTGTGATTTCCTCCCCCTCGTCAAGAAGTCGCTCCTGTTCTCCACTACTCTGCGTCACAAGCTGTACGATGAAGACTGCCGCACTTGTTCCCAGGTCTTGTCCTGTAGTGTCCTCAGACTCAAAGTCCTCAGCCGCTGGCATCTTCATCTCCACGACTTCTAGAACTGGAAGAAGTTCGCCATCTCCTGCTTCTTCCCGTTTCTTCTTCAGTGCCTTGACGCACGACACTACGTCCCGCTCTAGTTGGTGCACTGCTCGAGGTTTAGTGTGCAAAGTGCCGAAGGGATACTTAGGATCTTGCAGCCATCTCCTACACAGAGTCTGCGACTGTGCATGAAAAGCCCGCTCCGAGCGTTGATCTGTTGCCCACTTCTCCGTCGCTCGGCTCTGTATCTTCTCGTAGAAGCGCTCCTCCTGATTCACGACGAAACGATCACGAGGAGGAGGCACAGAATCGACGTTTTGTCCATCGTCTGAATCATCCGAGACCATTGCATTTGCTGGGCCTAGTGGTTCTTCCTCTTGATCTAAAACATTCAAGAGACAAAGCCGCATCGCCTCCGCCCGATCCGAGTTGTTCATCTTCGTCTCCCCCTTTTGTATCTTCATGTCGCGCTTCGGGCCTTCTATCGCGTCACGGCCTTCCCGCAACTTCCTTTGCCGCCACAGATCGCAAGACCTGCGATAGCTATGCCGCTTCTTCTGTGGCTCCGCCATTTTCTCACGTCGATACTTCTCCCCTCGGATTTGCGCCATTCGGTTGACAAAATCTTGACGCACGTTATCGCTAAACACGCTGCTCATACACCGCCAGCTGAGTGCTTTCTTCGCTGATCGTTTGAGGCGTTGCACTTTCGTCTCCACCCCTTTGTTGCGGCGTTTGTTCCGGTTCATCAACTCCATGAAGCGCTGCAGAAGCTGCATGCGATCAAGATCACTCCGCCCATTTTTCAACAACCAATGCCGCAAAGAGCGAAGTGCAAGAGTACCAGCGTCAGATGTTCGGATAGAAGTAAGATCCATGTCCCGCAAGCTCAGCCAATCTATCCACCTCACCACGAAAATACTTCCCCAACCAATCCTCATGCAGATCGCAATAGGCGCCATACCTCCAAGAGAAGTGCGCTGCTAGAGCGTGCACCGCCAAGAGGCTAGACGCCGCCATTGCAAGAACCTGCATGCGACAAGAAGAAAGGTAGCATAATGCTCACAGATGACGCCACAAAGTTCTATCGCAGTACTCAACTAACAACGAAATCCATTAGAAAGCAGCTACGCCAGCCTTAACTAATTCAAATGCCGTCCCTCTCTGCTCCTCCGTCAGCGGGCAGCAAATGATCAATGATATTCGCAGACATATTTTTCCCCAGTCCTGCAGATGCGCCAAAGCGTCCCTCACATCATTCGCAAAATCGTCAACAATCCGAGTGCGAAGACGTACTTCGTTTTTCAGCTCCGCCAGCAGATAATGACGAACCGGGTTTGTCGTCTGAGCGACAAAATACTGACTGGCGCACAGCATGAAGTTGCCATCTGGTGGAGCAATGTGCACAGAGATGACAACCGATAAAAACAAGAGAAAGGAGCGCGGTGTGAATTGAGAAGAACAAGACTCGACGCACCAGATAGCAGCCTCAAATAAATCAAAACACTTCAACGCTTGAAAGTCTTCCCGTCGTCTGGTATAGCGATCTTAGTGGAGGCATAAACATGCAAAAGCTTATTTTTTAGAATCATGCTACCTCTCTTCCTCTGCTTCAGTGAGATGTGGTTTCTCACTGTGTCCTCCTTCAGTCTCAACTGGTCCCCAAATAATCGCCGCACAAGATAGGACAATCCAAACGCCATAGCGATCATCATCCGCACTAGCATACTCGGAAAGGTCATCCAACGGGACCACGAGGGAGCACGCATCCCTTTTGTTAGTCCTAGCATTTCCTCACGCACTCGCTTTAACCATCCCTGTTGGCATCGTATGGTCAGCGGCTCCGTGTAGTTGATCTCGCAACGCTTCAACGCTTTGATGGAGTTGCTAGGCAAGCGAAAGTCACGCATAAGCAGCTTAAGCTCCTCCTCCAAGAACAGATCACCCGCTTCCGCCTCGGATAAATTGCTACTCATGAATTCCGTGCAGCCCCTACTAATATCAGACCGCTGCAGCTGCACCGTCTTCACCTGTGCAGCGTTGCGATTTGAATCAAAGAAAGCTACACACTGGGACAAAAGAGATTAAACATGAATACCATCTGGGTTTTTGTTGTGCTTCAGGGGGACAACAACGGCCACCCTATTCCTTTAAAATGCTACTAAAATTTTACTAATTTGACCAATCGGAGCGATCTCAGAAGACCCCCCGACGCTGCTAGCAACACCCCTGAGACACCTCCAAGAAAGACCCGCTGACCACACCACCAAAGCCGCGACCGATAAGCAAACCCACCGCCCTCAGCTGCAGCTACCACCAGCGTACCTCTGTGCGCAGACTCTACAAAACCCGACGACACAGAAGAGCAGAACCACAGCACGCGACACATGGCCGACAGATCTTCCACGAAGCTGCGACCTTTGGTCGCAAGTGCTCTAATTCGAGCGCTAAAAATTCTGCTAATTTAGGAAAAGCCGACGGAATGCACCGGGGGGAGCTCGCTCGACAAGTTGCTAACTCGTCACTCTCGTTTGGTTTTGGGGCTTTTCGAAAACCTTCTAAAAATTCCTCTAGTTGTGTGCTCTAATTCAGCACTCTAATTTGCAAACCCCCCGATAGCGCGAAATCGCGCAGGGTTTTGGGGTGCAAAATTAGAATACCGAATTAGAGTGCCTAATTAGAGGAATTTTAGAGGGCTCCCGAGAACCCCCCAAAACAATTAGAGTGACGAATTAGCATGATTTTTAGAGCAAAAAAATAAGGCACCCCGGCGAGAAATCCCGCCGAATTAGAGTGCTGAATTAGAGTGCTAAACTAGCACGATTTTTAGCGTGCTAAATTAGCGCGATTTTTAGTAAAAAAATTAGACCCCAAAAACCGACCCGAGCACAGCACCAGTCTGACAGCTGCCGCGTCAGCCGCGGACCTTCTGCGCGGGGACCCACCCCCCGACACGGCGGCAAGGCCACAGCGAGCACGCTACCCCCTGCGGCCACACGGCTAAGCACACCACACAAGACACACCCCGACCACCACAGGCAACCGACTAGCCTGCAACGATTTGCGACCCCTTCAAAATTAGAGGAATTTTAGCGGAAAATTAGGCGCGAAAGGTGCCCGGGCGTGTCCTCCTGATGTGCTTTGAGTAGATTAGTCAGCAGCATTCTATTCTGAATTCCAACTAGAATAAGAAAACTTATGCAGCTAAGTGTGCCCGTTTTTCCCAAACGCGAGGGTTGATGCCAGCACGCCACAACGTCAAATCTGCACACTCTCACGCCGCTACGGCAGCCATGTGAATACGACAACGACCAGGCCAGAAAGTCACTCGGTCAGCAATGCAAGGCTCTCCCTCCGCACTCATGAACCAAGACCCAAGCCAAATCTGTTGGCTCAAGGTGGACCCGCCGCTGTCTGTGAAGAAGCAGAAGACAACTACTTTCCCCGCGGGGATGTTCTTGATGAGTTCTTCAAAGTTCATGTCCTTCATGACCAAGTCGGCGATGTCCGCTGCCTCGGTCAGGTCATGCGCGGTGGGCACGGCGACACCCTGACCGACAGGCACAGTCTCAGCGTCGGCTTCTTTTTTCCGTCGCCCATTTGGTGCGAGTACAGTTGTAGGCGCTGAAAGTTTACAAGAGGCCCTTTCGCTACTACCTGCCCCACGCCAACTAATCCTCTTCTCTTGCGCGACCCATTTTGAGCCTCTCCAGACTTCACGGCCAACCTCGCCCACTTCGAGAAGGCCACGGCTGGCGCCGTCTGTCTCGTCATGAAGTATTGCATCTTGATGCGCAGCTGACTCGAGAACCTCCTTCACTACTTCACGCGTTTCTTCTAATAGGATGACGCTCATCTTCGCCATCTTCCGCTTCGTGTCTCCATTGGTTTGAACGCTTTCTCCTTCGTCGAAGTAACGCTCTGCAAACGCAGCTAACTCCTTCTTTGCTTGTTCCTGCTCCTCCCGTAAAGCATCTGCTCGGGCAACTATTAGAGTAGCCGGCCGCGGTTTGACATCCTTCTTTTGGTTCTTCGCCTTAGCATCACGAAGAACCTGCTTGAAATACGAGTCCATGACGCAGACCCGCTAAGCTTCTACATCAAGTAACTGCCTACAGATTCAAAAGCATACAAAAATAAAGCAAAATCAGTCAAACCTTGGCCAGCTATCATGTAGCTCATGATCTAAATATAGAACCCTCCATAACGGTCCCTCGGCGTTAATACTTCGACGCACGAAGGGCCAAGAACTGCGACACGAATGGCGAACCTTCGGCATCCGGCGATTGCGTTTTTGAAACGAACGAAACGACGAACAGCCGATAAATGCAATAGCTCCTTATTCTTGTTGACTTCTACGCACAAGATTCAAGTCGTTCAACCGATTCTGCGACAACAATGCCGAAAACTCAGTGGACCGATAGATAGAACACGAGCTGCAAACGAGGCGCGACGTCTCGACTTCCGTTCGTCAGCTTGGAATATTCAAGCAAGATAAAACGACCGCCCGCTTTTCTATCCCTATAGCTCATAAGCGAACGCTTTCAATTCCAAAACTAACAAGATATCCTCAAGGCGAGAGCGCGCTACCATGCATTTGCCAAACGAGTAGTCCATCCTTACCCGCACACTCCCAAAACCGCACTACCCTACCAACCCAAAATTGACCAGCCCAACTCGGTCGGCATCCAAAAACCATCCAGCGAGCCCCACGAAGGTCCGCAATCACAAAACCCGAACGAAATGCAACACGCACCACCCTAGTCCGACAAAAAATTCCTAGATGTTTTTCTGCTTAATTTCTATGGATTTTCTCACTGGCTGGGCCGGCGTCAACTCCTACCACTACTCCAGACGAACCACCAGAATCATCGCCAGCTAGTTTAAAGCAAGGAATATGGTCCAGACCCGTTCCTTCCGCGTGAACACACGACGCAAACACTCGCCACCAGCTCGCTCCCGCGACTTATCGCCAGAGAAGAACCACTAGCATGATCTTTTTACTCCTCCACCACATCACTATAATGAGCGGAAACGCCAAGAGCTGCACACTTGTCGATCAAATTCATGACCGAAGAGCTAGAGCAAGAAAACCGAAGGAAGAGCTTTAGGAAGCTCTTTGAGTATGTTCCTCCTTCTATCTTTCTCGTCCGTATTTAAGAAAGAGAACACAGGAAAAAGCTGAAGAGTATTAATCCGCGATTTTTGAATTTGTTGAGTATCAGCGAAAAGAATACCAATAAAAAAGCCACTGAGGCTCCTTAGCCGTATCCTGTATGAATAAGGAGCATGCTCAATTATTTTGGCGTCAGTATGTAGGGGAGTTTAAAGCTTGCTATCACATGCTTGCGCATGTGTTAGGTTTTTGGTTTTTGTCATGCATAAAATCCAGAAGGTTCAGACTGATACTAATGCACTTTATTTCCGTACTATTGGTCTACTTGATTCGACCGGGGAACAAAGGAGCAGACTGATGCAGATTTTCGCACTGAGAGCATTTCAATTCAAACCAAACCCATCTTACAACGGCCTCCCTTGCTCCGTGTTCAGCGGTCTTTAGCCATTTTCTATCTCTGGTTCTATATTTCTTCCTATTCCATTCATTTCTAAGAAGTTGGAAAAATCCTTGCCAAGAACTATTTTAGTTAGCCCGTTGGCCTTGTTGCTAGCAGATGCATGGGAAGTATAATGGTCGCACAATATTCCTACTTACAATGTCTCTTATGAAACGCTCCCTAGTATCTAAGTGCTTTAGTCTGCTAGCTGTCCCGGATTTATTTATAGCATACTTAAGGCCTCCCTGATTGTCAGCTTTCAAAGGAAGCGGGAAAAGTATTTTTGGTTCCGGAAAATAAATACTGAGCCAGCCCTGTAGTGATGTTAAAACATAGTAAAAACGTAGAATGGCCTTGGCTCCATCTGTCATGCCATATAATTCGGATTCAGTCACTGACGTAGCAATATTGCTTTGCGTGATAGATTTCCAATATATAAGGTTGCCACTCAAATTCACTACTATGCCTGAGATTCCTCTTCTGCCAATAGTTCCACCGGAGTCAGAATCTGTCCAGACAGTAAGGATTAGTTTGTTTTGGAGTTGTTTACTACGATTGAAATACTTCAAAACTCTCCGAGTTCTTAAATATCTAAATACACGCTTAAGGGCTAGAATAGGTTCGCTGCTCGCTTTAGCTTTTGCGCAAAGCTTTAGAGGAGTCACGATATCTATTCGAGTAGCACTCGCTAAATACTGAAGACAACCAGTAAGCTCCTGCGTATGTTTTAATAGTTCCACATCTTCAGGCGTGGATGGATTAGGCGCTTGAAGTAAAGGAGTAGAAGCGTGCCTACCTAATTCTCCACCAAATCTTTCTAGTATTTTAGTAGCGTAGTCATCTTGTGATAGAGTGAAGTCATTAGTTTTCAAGTTTCGAATAATCTTGATGCCTAATAAGTCATATATCTCCTGGGTAGTATTCTTAGTGACTTTCTCAGGTATTAGCTTTAGAAGAGGGCGAAGCTCTTCGTGTAGTCTCATAACTTGAGTTCTTGGACCAAAAAACCAAAAATTATCTACAAACACTACTGGTAGGACGTCTTCTTTTTTCCAAAGAGTTGGCTCGCATGGATTACGTTCCCATTTAGCATTAGTTAATATCTTATCTCTATGATCTGACCAAGCACGTGGCGATAAACGTAAGCCATTGAGAGCGTATAGGACTACGCCATATCTATAGCCTAAAAGTTCTTGGAGTCGTTTATCTAGGTCAACAATAACAGGGGTCGGATATGGACTCTGAAGGAAAGCGGCTTCCGCATCAGATGACAAGAAGAAGATGTCGGAGCACTGGCATGCAATGCGCAAGAGCATACGGAAGGATAGTGCATAAATCGGGAGCTTCTGCATAAGATTCCGCGGGGTCACTAATTTTACCCATATAACCTAAACAAACAAGACGAGCTTTTTTAGTTCCGTCCCGTTTTATGGAGAGTAATAATTTGCAAGGAATACCTCTGAACCCTTTTGCAAACCATTGAAAAAGTTCTTTTTCCGATGCTCTTCTGAATGCATGCCAATGGGCCTCAATCTGTTTTCGAATAGCAGCAGACCAGTCAGGTTGCGTTAGATCGTAACCTGCGCAGTCAGCTGTAATTGATGCAACTTTGAAACAACACTCGTACTCACCTTCTTCCCAGTCGTGACAAAGGAACAAGAAAACAAGAGAACAAGCTACCTCATCTTCTAGAGGGTCCTGTATGTTCTTCTTGCAATGTTCCAAAATGTCAGATGCAATTTTTTGGAGGTGCTTCTCTTTGACTGTTGAAGCTTCGGGGCGTTTCTCAATGATTTCCCTAATTTCAGTCAAAGCCTTCGCCCTGGTTTGTTTACGTTCTTTCCAGGCTCCACGTGTAGGACACTTTTTTACTTTGGCAGCTATCTTTCTCATTTCTTCTCCGTGCTCTGCTTTCAGGCGATTGTAGACTTGAGCTGTGTAGTCTTTTGTAAGACGGAATGGCTTCTGATTCTTTTGGGCGTCCCCTCCAGAATCAGTCTCCTCGGGATTCTCTGAGCTGACGCGGTTAGTTGCAATGACTTCACCGCTATGGGTCCTTTCAAAGGCAGCGGGGGTTTCGTCTTGCTTTGGTAGTCCTGGCGTCTTTTGATCTTCCGGCGGGTTTCGTTTGAGGGACGCGCCTAGATCTGAGGGACGCGCCTGAATCTTTTTGACTACTGGCCTTCTCAAGTTTGATTTGGACTGGTGCCAGCACTCGTTCTTCCACCCTTTGACTTTTGTCAGGAGCTACTCCATGCGTTTTGTAGATTGCACGCAATAACGCAAGAGGGAGACTGAGCTGCTCGAGTACTAAGAAAGTGCCTACGAATATGGGAAGAGTGTATACGTTTGAAGTTGCCACCATGATCCACCACGAATGTTGCAGAATTATCATTCGCCTGCCGATGAGTCAGCTTCGCAGGCCCCAGCCATGCCTTTTTACCTTTGTCGAAAATATCGACTAGATCTTCTCCTTCGAGCTGATCAGATTCAGGGAAGGGATTCCGTTGGGCCTCAGTCAGCTTGCGCATGCTGTTCCCACATTGCTTGTCTCTTTTGAGTTTTTCAATTTGTGCCCTTGCTTCGCATCTCGTCTGATATGCCTCCCCAATGGGCTCCAGCGAGATTATGGCTTGCAGAGTAGTTTGATTTTCTGGATCTTGCGGCTCTAATTCATATGGGTCCATGGCCCATTGAACTTGATAGGGGCAGAGTCCGCCAAGAGCCCTGGTGGGTGTCATGTTGATTGCGGCAGTTGCCTGCTCCACGAGTCCTGCGATCCTGCTAGGCTGTTGACCATAGATATAGTATAGCTTTTCGAGCACAGCTCTGAAGGTTCTGCGCCTGCGCTCAACTATACCATTGACCCAGCTAGATTTTGGAATTAAGAACATACCACATCCATGCAACTGAAGAAATTCGCGCACTTCTGAGCTATCAAATTCCTTACCTTGATCACATAGCAAGTCTTTACCTAGGATTCCTCTCGTTTTTGCAGCTTCTAAAAACTCAACAGCGTCTTTGCCTTTCGGGCGATGCTTTAGAGTTTTAGTAAAGCTAGCCCTAGAATGGAAATCGATAATATGTAATACGGCGCACTGTTTACCAAGTGGGAAAAAAGTATCAACGCTAGCAAAGTCACCCAGTGATAGACCATCGACTCCACCTACTAACTTTGTGACGAGGAAAAGCATAGTTGCGCAATCTGCCTAGGTTATGCTTACAGAATTGAATAACTAGTGAGCGACTTCTTTGTGTGTTTTCCACTTGCCGAACAACTTCCCAAAGCTTTTGAAACGTCGGAAAGCTAAGTCGCGTCGCGAGCTTGCAAATTTGCCCCGTCGAGATTTGTTGTCCAGTTGTGCATGTACTTTTCTGGCCAGTTTTTCTATATTTCTTCGCAGGCTTAGGCTTGTTCTGGCTTAGTCTTTTCTTCTTCTTTTTCTTCTTCTTCTTCTGCTTGTTCGACTCTTGCTCCATCTTCGGCCGTACTACTTCGAAAAGTTGCGAAGAAGATGAGTCCACTTGATTTGTGCTAGTGCTGCTGGTAGGAGTTGACTTGTTCAAATTTGTTGTTAGTACTAGTGGCGAACTAGTTTGATATTGATTCAAGTCGTAAACGAGTGCACTACTATAGTTCTCAGATTCACGGTCGTTAATATGTGGGATACTTTCTCCCAGATATGCTTCGATAGTTCGCAATCTAGTTCGCGTTTCGTCATTGAAGTACTTACATAGGACGATAGTTCTTCTCTGCCACTCTTTGCTCATTCTGGGAATTATTTCCGTTATTGCGGCAGATACGCTCGCACTGTCCAGATCGACTTCGAATGGAGCTAGTTCTGGACCATAAGAGCATGGCCTCTTGTTAGCGTACTCGTCATGACTTGCGTGGGCTAGTCACAGGTTCGCCATGAGGCTGCTTACATCTTGCACCACCATCGCACTCGAGTTTTGTATTTTGCGCTTTTTGACTTTTAGCTTCATCATTAGTACGCCACAACGGATCTCGAGTGGGCACCCCATGCACTTGCCGTTTACTAAATCTGGAACTATTCCGGCTTGTAGCATTTTCGTCATCGAGAGAATTGTCTTGCCACCTAAGGACGCCACAAAGAGTGCATCCGGAGTACTCCACGAATCGTCCTCGGCGATCATCTTTCCTGTGAGCGTAGCGACTGCTCCGGTATCACTTGCTGTCGCCAAGTTTTGATGACAATACTCAACTTCCCAGATGTTTGATAAGTCTCCCGCAAGATGTTGAGACGAGCCGGAATCTAGGATTGCCCAGATCTCATTACTGTTCTGCTGATTCACCGTCTCGATGTGATACGAGAGTGCCTGAGCGTTTTGCTGATCTAAAGTCACAAATGTCCTGCCCTTGGTCCATGTCGGCACGAACTGCGGGGGCTGCTGTAGTTGTTGCTGACTAGGCTGCACCTGCTGAGTGCTCTGCGTGAAAAAAGCCCGAGCACCTTGCTGCTGATATGGAGTAGCTGGCGCAGTCAGCTCGTACGCGTACTGCTCTGGATTGTAAGTAGCGTCGGCCGGAGTGCTATAGTTGTACTGTAGCGCTTCAGTCGACTGGTCTTCAGCATAGTAGTTTTCGTTCCTCAGCTCCTGTAAAGAAGTTCTGAGCAGGATTCGAAGAAGATGCTAACGATGTTGTGGGCCAAAATCCTCTGGATTGTTGTGGGTATTGTCCCTTGCCGCTTTGTTTCGAGGACTTGAATCCTTTCCCCTTGTTCTTTGACGTTCCTCGAAAGTTGCTACTACTACCGCTGCTCGCATTACTGCTACTGGCGAAAGGATGTCTTCCTTGATTCTGTCCTTCTTGTGAGGTACTCCAGAAAGTAGATGACGACTTACTTTCTTTTTAGAGCCCCCCCAGCGGTTGCGTTTCACGTTTTAACTCCTACCCTAACTCGGACTAAACTCCTGGCACATGCTCGGGCTCGTTTCTGCTGTTAAGGGGGTCAGCTTTTAAGCCTAAAAAGAACCAGCCTGGTCGTATTTTTTGGCGCCTGA